AAACAAAACACGTTTGTTTTGACACCTGATCTTAAATTTTGATTGGTCAAAATTACTGGGGATGAACAATTTTTTGTAGAAGCGCTATCTAAAATTGTAAATGCAACTACCTTTACCTAGACTGAAGTTGTTTAGAATATAATTTTATATATAATTCTTATTTTAAATCTGCTAAATTTTTTCTTTTGACAAAGTTATATATTTAAATTATATCAAAATTACAATATTTTTATTCGGTCTAAAACATGTTTTTTTTGCCTTTTCTTGATGTATTTATTCATAAAATTTAATTTAAAATTAATATGTAAACAAAGAAATATCATTGCAACAAAGTTTATATATAATTCTATATATTTTTGCTATAAGTTTATATATACAAAAATTTAAGTATAACATATCATATGACTGATATAGTATTGTCTGGGATTATTATTTTTATTAAAATTAGGTTATAAATGTTAAAGGCAAATTCATAATAGATTCAACAATAGAAGGTCTTTATTTTTAATTTTTTTTTCTACTCTTATTTTAATATTTTTTTATTTTTTTAAATACTGGAACGAAGAAATTATTTGTAACATAGTTTAGAATATATTTACTGTTATATAATCGAATAGAGTTCTTTTTAATTCAATTAAGCATTATTTAAGAATTTTTTTAAAATAATGAATTAGGTTATTAGCAATATCTTGAATTCTAACAATTATATTTAAATAATTTTTATACCATTCGACTCATCTTAATAAGACAAATCGAATGATATAAAAATTTAGTTTTAATCAGTAGTTAGAAGATATTTTCATATTTGAAATTTGTAAAAAAATGATTATAGTGGGAGTTTGTATTAAATAAATTGACTTTATATTAAATAAAACTATTTGCAATATTGATTTCTATATAATTTTAAAATTTGAAAAATGTTGGATAATTTTTTATTAATAAATATATGTTTACTAGTTTTTTGATTTTTCGAGGCTATGATCTGATTGGCCAACCAACATGTGATAGAAGTGTCTAGAAATGTCTGATCAGCATTTACAGATGCAATTGACACTGTCTATATTTGGTAAAATCTCTGATTGTATTCTCTGACTGAAATATGACAAGTTCAAATTTATCATGCAATAAACTTGAATTTATCATAATAAACTATTTAAGCCACAGCAAACTATAATAAGCTGGCTTATTTTAAACACTAATTCTTGCTTGAGGAATTGATATTTGTTAAAATTCCTAGCTTATTTGGATTTTTGTAAATTTTTTGTCAAAACATTTATTATTATTATTTTCTCATGTTTTTTTTGAGCAGATCATATTTATCAACATGAACTTAATAGCATAAACTGGCAGACAGGGGTTATCTAATCAGTTCTTGCTCAAGAAATTGATATTTGATAAAATTTCCAGCTCACTTGAGTTTTTACAAGTTCATTGTCAAAACATTTTTCTAACTATAGGATACACCTCTACGTGGTGGCTAGGACAAGTAAGCTATTATTAATATTATTGGTTTATTTAATTATAGCTGAAACTAAGTATCCTAATAAAAAATAGCAAATATTTATTAATGTAATATCAAACTAATTATATTATTATTTTATTTAATTCCAATAAAGATACATTTATTAGGCACAGTGAATGATTAAAAATGGCGGTTGAGTGGTTTTGAGATCTGCTGAAGGTGACAATTCGATGGGCAACTCAACCTTGGACCCTACTGCAACCAACGTGGCACGGGCACATGAATGATGAAAAAAAGATGCGACAGCAAAAATCCCGACAATTAAAATAATATATTAAAATTTTTTTAATTTTTTTTCCTTTATTAGATTAAAATATAATCGATTAAAATATAATTAAATCATAATAAAAATAACGATAAAACATCAATTATAATTATTAAAGTGAAAGAATTATTATAAAACCGAGTAGTATGCATGTTTTAAATTAATCATTTACAGTAACTCTATTGTTGTTGATTTTAGTACCATATTTTTTTGGCGTCGTTGTTACTTGAATTGCATTATTGAAACATGGTGTTGTCGTTGTTGGTATCGCTGATGTGACTTTGGTTTTGGTTGTTCTGATGGTAGTTATCATTCTTGATTGTTGTGACGCAAGCACGAAGTATCATGTTAATAGTCAAGTTAGGGTTGGATTTAGTAGATGGTTTAGTATACTCTCCTTTAACATATAATGAGTATACTATCGTTAACAAAATTTAGACCTTATGCATTATAAATTTAGATTTTAAAAAGAAAACTTTTTATTTTAATTTAGAAACGTTTTATTATTAAATTCTATGAAAGCTCTCATGATTCGCAATAAGCAACACTTTATACAGATCTTTCATTAATGCCAAGAAAATATTACGTACAAATGAAGCAATAATCTCTAATAGTAAGAAAAATGTAATAGTTGCGCGAAAATATAGTATAAATATAATTCTAATTTAGAATGAAGATTATTGCCCAAGCGTAATAAGATTTACATAATCTCTACGAATAATGAAATAACAACACGTAAATCGATAATGTGATTACAGGGGGTGCACCGCTGTGCAAGTGCACAATTTTATTATTTTAACGTTAAACGGCTTATATTAAATGTAACCCGTAGTGACACGTGTTAAGCTAGCGATAATAAACACGCTAATTAAGCATATAAATCGTCATCTCCATCAGCATCCCGACCGAATGTAGTACTAGTAACATCCATAGCGTTGCCGCCATTTTGTGCGTCTGTGGAAGGTCCTTCGCTAGAATCTTCAGGGAACTTAAAGTTCAGTCCAAAGCCACGAGATTGTTGAAGGTTTTGGGCAAATATTTCATATCTGCGAATGTCACTATCAGAAACTGAACGACGAGCAAATTTCATAGCTTCTTCGAAGTGAACCCTAAAAACCAGAAATATAATAGTTAATAAATACGACCCATCTTAATTTCATTTAATAAAAATGCGTGGTTACAAACATTGTAATTTCAGGGACTGGATCTTCTTCATCTTCTTCCATAGTAGCTTCTTCACCTTCACCTTCTTCACCAACTCTTTCCTTACGCTCTTGTTCACGTTTTATTTCTTTTTCAATACTTTCTCTGATCGCCAATTTACACGCACGTTGACAAATTTCTGTCAAATCTGCACCAGAGAATCCTTCTGTTTTCTTGGCTAAATAATCCAAACGTTCTTTAACCTTTTCAGCTACAGGTGATTTTCGCAATGTAGCTTTCAAAATCGATAACCTTGATGACTCATCGGGTAGAGGAATATAAATCAATTGGTCAAGACGACCAGGACGAAGCAGAGCCGGATCAATTTGATCTGGACGATTTGTGGCACCGATAATAAATACATTCTTTTTAGCGTTCATACCGTCCATCTCAGTAAGAATTTGATTAAGAACACGGTCACCAGCACCACCACCGTCACCTAAACTGGCTCCACGAGCTTTTGCGATAGAATCCAATTCATCAAAGAACATTACACATGGAGCAGCAGCACGTGCTTTATCAAAGACATCTCGAACATTCGCCTCAGATTCACCAAACCACATAGTCAATAACTCGGGCCCCTAAAACAAAAAAAAAAAAAAAGAAAAACCTGTTTAATATTCAATAATATCAATAAAAAAACAAAAACTAAAAATAAAATTTACCTTAATGCTAATGAAATTGGCTTGACACTCATTGGCAATGGCCTTAGCTAATAATGTCTTACCACATCCTGGGGGACCATAGAATAATACACCTTTTGAAGGAGACATGCCAAATTTGACGAATTTTTCAGGGTGCTCTACAGGATATTGTACAGTTTCTTGAAGTTCCAGTTTGACTTTTTCGAGTCCACCAATGTCCTTCCATGTGACTGTTGGGACCTCTACAGCTGTTTCTCGTAGAGCAGATGGATTGGATACACCCAAAGCATACTAATAAATAAAATGAAAGTTATAAACAAAAGTCATATTTAATAACAGAATAATAATAATAATAATAATAATAATAATAATAATAATAATAATAATAATAAATAACTTACTCTGAAATTGTCCATTGTGACAGCCAATGAATCCAAGACTTCAGCGTCAATTGTTTCATCTTCCAAATCAATTAAGTCCATCTTTTCACGGATTTGTTGCATTGCAGCTTCAGAACAAAGAGATGCTATATCTGAACCGACATAACCATGAGTTTCGAATGCAATCTATTTCAAAGAATTATTACAAAATTTAGTATGAGAATACCATAATGATAATGATAATAATAATAAATTCATATAATATAATATGCTTACTCGTTCCAAATCTACATCCTCATCTAATTTCATATTCTTTGTATGGATGCGTAAAATTTCCAAACGACCAGTAGGGTCTGGAATACCAATATCAATTTCACGATCGAAACGACCAAATCTTCGAAGAGCAGGATCAATACTATTTGGACGATTGGTGGCAGCCATTACGACAACATTTGATCTTGCCTTCATACCATCCATAAGTGTAAGAAGTTGAGATACAACACGACGTTCTACTTCACCATTAGTCTAAAAAAAAAAATCTTTTCAAACATTTCAAGCTAATCTTCAAACAGCTTTTTGTAAATTTTTTTTATTAAAGTTTTATATAAAGGTAAATTTAAGAAAAATGTCAGAAGGAAAAGGAAAGCTACCGTATGTACTTATTTCTCTTGTGCGAGAAAGGCTTATCACTTTCTGTATCAATATTGCTCACCTTACTTACTTTTGCTCCATCCTTTGCTATATGTTTCTTGGTTTGATCTTTAATAACTGGATATCTTGTCTATCTACTTTTTCTTTTTTGCCAAACTCCGGAATGCTCTTTCTTCATATAAAGTGATAACTCTTCCATCCCATCAAATCCCGACCTAAATCATGATCCAGCCACTGCAATACTTCGTAAGAAGCCTGCACCTAACAAACTCATTGTTGACGATGCAACAAACGACGATAACTCTGTAATGTCTCTTTCTACTGCAACCATGGAAAAGTTACAACTTTTCCGTGGTGATACCGTATTGATCAAAGGAAAAAAGAGACGTGACACTGTATTGATTGTTTTGGCTGACGATAGTTGTGAAGATACAAAAGTAAAAATTAATAAAGGTAAGGGTGGTTTCCTTAATTCTTCCTCTTTTTACTACTTTTCATTAGTCCAAATTTAATCGTGATCTATGTGTAGTCGTACGAAATAATCTTCGTGTACGTCTCGGTGATGTGGTATCAATCAACCCTTGTACCGAAATTAAATATGGAAAACGTGTTCATGTTCTGCCAATCGATGATACGATTGAAGGTGTAACGGGCAATTTGTTTGATGTATACTTAAAACCATATTTCTTGGAAGCATATCGACCTGTAAGGAAAGGTGATTTATTCTTGGTTAGAGGCGGTATGAGAGCTGTTGAATTTAAAGTTGTCGAAACAGATCCGCCGGATTATTGTATCGTGAGTAATTGTTCCTCATTTCATTATAATTTCATTATAATTTTCTACGTAAATCTTTCCTCTTTTTAACAATCTTTCAACCTTTCTACTGAATTTTAGGTTGCACAAGATACTGAAATATATTGTGAAGGTGATCCGATTAAACGTGAAGATGAAGAAGCCAACCTTAATGATGTCGGTTATGATGATATTGGTGGATGTCGTAAACAAATGGCTCAAATCCGTGAACTTGTTGAACTTCCACTTAGACATCCTCAATTGTTCAAATCAATTGGTATCAAACCACCACGGGGTATTCTTATGTATGGTCCTCCAGGAACTGGAAAAACACTTATAGCACGTGCTGTAGCTAATGAAACTGGTGCATTCTTCTTCTTGATTAATGGTCCTGAAATTATGTCAAAGATGGCTGGTGAATCTGAAAGTAATTTAAGAAAAGCATTTGAAGAGGCTGAGAAAAATAGTCCTGCTATTATTTTCATTGATGAAATAGATGCTATTGCTCCAAAGCGTGAAAAGGTGATTACCCTCATTTTTCTTCTGAAATATATTTTGTAATATTTCCTTATCTATTCTTTTCTAAAAAAAAATTTTTTTTTTTAGACTAATGGTGAAGTAGAACGTCGTGTTGTATCTCAACTTCTTACACTTATGGATGGTATGAAG